CTACGCCCAGGCCGGCGCTTCCAACATTGCACTCGGCGCGCGATCATACCTCGACTCCACCGTGACCGCAGTCCTCGAAGCAGCAAAAGCCGCTGGTCACCCCCCACCCCGCATCACAACACTGAATCTCGACGTCACAAGCGCCTCGAGCGTCTCCGCCGCCGCCTTGCAAGTCTCCAAAGACTTTGACGGCCGCCTCGACATCCTCATCAACAACGCCGGGTACCTCCACAAACTAAGCTCAATCCCGGACTCGGACCCAGAAGACTGGTGGCGCACCTTCGAAGTCAACATCAAAGGCCCCTACCTAATCTTCCACGCCTTCTACCCTTTACTCCGCCAATCCTCCCTCAAAACTGTAATCAACGTCGTATCCCTCATTGGCGTCTCCACGCTCCCGCAACACTCGGGCTACGCACTTAGCAAGCTGGCTGCACTGCGTCTGACGCAGTACATCAGCCAGGACCATGGTGAAGGTAAAGAAGGGATTGTGGCGATTGGGGTGCATCCCGGGGCTATAGCGACGGATATGACGTTGACGATGCCCGAGGAGCTGCATCATGTTCTTACTGAGACGAAGGAGTTGGCGGGGGATGCGATGGTGTGGTTGGGGGCGGAGAGGAGGGAGTGGCTGGGTGGGAGGTATGTTAGTGTGTGTTGGGATTTTGAGGAGTTGAGTGAGAAGAAGGGGGAGATTGTGGAGGGGGATTTGTTGAAGATACGGTTGGTTGTTTGAGGGGTTTCGATAGAATGGGATTGAGAGGGTTCTTTGTTTTTCTTTTCTGATCAAGATGGGGTTAGTCTTAGGTTAGAGGGACGTGAGGGTTGATAGAAGTCTGTGTATCTTGAGAAATAGGCCAGGTTTCCAATGAATGCTGGAGAGCTTTGGATGTGGTATCGTGCTTCACCACTGTCGCTCTGGTACTGCTATCTCGTGCCTTCGTTCTCCACTTGATCGGCCAGAGGAGCCAGGCCAGGTAGGTGATAGCTACGTAGAGTAAGTAATATTAAATTAAACCTTCACCTCTCTTCAGCGCCACTCAATAGTTGTAATCGTGTCTCCAATAGGATTACTAGTTGGCGATAGTCTCCAATTGGTGTCGCTGTCGAGCTACAAAGTACATACATATATATATTGCTGTCAGCCAATATCGTGAGGCTGAGCAGCGGGTAGAGCAGGCGACACCTTCCGACAATGGCTAGTAACTGCTTAGCGACTGTCGATTAGTGTCGCTCACCCCACCCGGCCAGCGACAGGTGTCGATTGGTGTCGCTCACCCTACATTTCTATAGTGGCTAGTTTTTGTGGCTGATGAGCGACACTAATCGACAGCCGTCGATTGGTGTCGCCTACTACTGACTAACGTTGCCCGTTAGCCATAATGTCTCGAACACGAAATGATACCTCTAAACATCCACCGGTAGGGGTCTATCTATAGACTATAGATGCCTTCAGGAGTACGACTGCATCGACCGAGGCAATAATATTTCAGAGTACTACTAATGCTGATACCTGCTTAACTCAGCATATCAACCTATCAGAGCTGTATCCATTGATCCTACATCAGGCCTCCAACTTTGTCAATGTTTCCGTCCTTTTTGATTACTGAACAGCCTTGAAATCATGTAGGCGTAAATCTGCATCGGCCGCCGCATCCCATGGTCTGACTCTGGCACGACTTTTCAGCCACCATCTCGATTGAGCCGTGGATTTTGTCAAAAGAAAGAAGAATGAGTATAGCTGCAGGTCTGATACCAGTGACGCAAAAAGCGTCCAATGTATGCGCATACTGCCGAGTCAGGAAACAGAGGTGTGACCGCACTCTGCCACATTGCCAAAGATGTGCTGTGTAAGAACATTCTTCGCGTCTATCAAAAGAAGAAACGGATGCTAAGTGGCTGCAGAAAAGAACGACACTGCGACTACACGCCATTCAAGGAACCTATTCGCCAGGGAGATGACGATGTCACGCCACTGGTGCAGCACTTTGATGCCTGTCTCCATGCAGATTTGACCCTCGGCGGGGTCAGTGAGCTGCTTCATGCAGTTACGACATGGATCACATCTGGCGGTACATCCGGCGCGGCAGCCAAACTCTCCAAAGTCGTATACGAAATCCTCGACCTAGCCGATGTAGACCTGGTACTAGCACTAGACGAGTTCGGTACCTGCATACAGCAGTGGTGTCCCGTATTCCCCACGTCCTATCTCTATGGCGAGGTAGAAGACCTGTCGCAGCAATCCCAACACAAAGACAGACTACGCCATCCTTTACTCTTGCTATGTCTCTGGCTCATCACCCGCCGGACCTGCGTACAACAAGCCCACACCACGCAACCCCATATCTACCTAGCCCTCAAACAAATCCTCGCCCTCCTCCACTCAAGCAACCAAATCAGCCTCCAAATCCTGCAAATATCCCTCCTACTAGCAATCTACGAAACCGGCCATGGCCAATCCCACGCCGCATACCTCACCCTCTCCACCAGCCTCTCCCTCTACAACCTCCTCCTCCTCCTCTCCCCCACCCCAATCCCAGACTGGCTCACCTCCAGCATCCTCTTCCTCTCCACAACCCTCTCCACAACCCACCTCACCCCCGGTTTCCCCCTAGCCCTGTCCTTCCCCTCCCCCCTGGTCGCCACCCTCGCTTCCTCCCTCGCACCCACCATCCCCTTACCCCCACCCACCCCCGACGCCACCAGCCCCCGCAAAACGCATATCCGCAGCGCCACAGCCGTAGCAGCGAGTCATGTTCTCTCCTACACCCACGCACTGACGCACACTTTACCCTTACCGTCCACCTACGCATCCGCCGACCAGAAAATCAACACTCTCATTACTCTTCTGATAGATAAACCTCAACCACACACCTGGCTCCACTGCGACGCCATCGCCCTAGCCTTCTGCTCCCACCTCCTCTTGCAGCTTTCCCAAGCACAATTCTCGACGCTGCAGGGAGAGGAAGCCGAAAAGGTCAAAGTTGCGCTAAGCGTCTCGAGGCGTATGGCCTGGGATATGGTCCAAGTGGGGATACGCGTGGTAGGTTGCGAAGAGGAGATTGCGAGATTGCCGTTTGCGGGGTTGGGATGCGTGGTTAGGGCTGGGGTTGCGGTGCTGGAGACACGGGGGTGGGTGGATGATGGGGCGGATGGCGTGGTTGGGGAGGAGGAAGGGAGGAAGTTTCGGAGGTTGGTGGAGTGGGTTTCGGGGCGGTGGGGGGTTGCGGGGGGGTATTTGGCGAGGGTGGATGAGGTGCTGGGGAGGGGGGTGTAAGGATGTTTTTTTTAATATGAGAAGAAGGGGGTTGTTAGTATTTATCTTAACGCGCTGAGAAGTAAATCACCCACCCACTCGCCTTGAGCTAGACAACACCCCTTCTTCTCGTTCTCCCCATCTACATCGGAAAGACAAGTCACGTCGAACCCCCTGGGCCCAGGCCGAATCCAACACCCCTTCTTCGCATCTTGCACCGCATACGCCGTCCCCGGCGCCACGAGCCCGAGATTCCGTCCCTTGGCCATATAATCATGCAACCACTTCTCCTGCGACTTTTTCCACAGCCGCATCTGCGCTTCGCTCTGTTCTTGCCGTAGATGCCGTAGCAGCGCTTCCACATCAACGTTATCGCGATATCCCAATGTCGGCCTAGCTTTCTTCAGTTCCCTGATTCGAGCTGCGCAGGCACCGATGTTGAATTGTATCATGTTCATCTGCTGTTCAAGATGCGTACCAGCGCTGACCGGGTTCCGAAACGATTGCGTAGGATTCGTGTCGATGCCGATATAAGTCGTACTTTGGCATCCTAGTACGGGACTCGAAGGTAGACATGCGGTCTGTTGGTATTTACTGTGATCCAACAGAGGCGTTTCAACACCGAATCCTGCATCCTTTCCCTCCGTCCCATTTTCAACCCTCGAGAACCCAAACTCCTCATCCTTGATACCCTCAACAACACCCCTCCCCGCCACCGCATCCGCAAGCTTATTCCCCACACTGCCCCCATGCCCCTTCACCCACTCCATCTCCACTCACACCCCTCATAAACCCCCTCTAACGCCGTCTTCCCCTCCATCCGCGGCCCCAGCGCCGTTAGCGTCCCCTCTGCCAACCCCCTAAGTACGAAGGCACAGTCTGAGTATATAATCACGCGTTCGCATTTCGATGCTTCCCCCTCATGCAGGATAGCTTGCTGGACATGACCGAGAGCGAGGGCAAGGGCGAGGAGTTCGCCGGAGTGGGAGGAGGAGCCGGGGGAGTGGAAAGTGTGGGCTGGGTGCAGGATGTAGGAGTCGTCATATTGGACTATGCCAATGCCCATGATGCCGTGCTTGAGGGATACATCGACGAAGCAGACTAGTGTGTGGCCTGAAACTATGAATAGGAGGAGCGGTGCGAGGCGGGTGGTGTCTGGTTCGTAGGCTTCGAGGGCGTTTATACGGATGGTGCTGCTGAATACGCGGTTGGGTCCTAGAACTGCATCGGTGAAGCCCAGTTTGCGGGCTTTTTCTGAGGCTTTGCGGAGATGCTTTTGGGGAGGTTAGGGAGGTGTGGTGCAGGAAGAGAAGAGAGGGAGGGGTATACGTACGTTTTTTCTGGCTTTCTTTCCCGCTCGCTTTGTGGAGGGGAGGTGGCTGGTGAGGCCCCCGGATGCTTTGACGCTTTTTTTGCTGGTTCGAGTCATTGGGTGCGGAAAGTGAGAGTGCTTCGAAGGATTGAAGCCTCAGAGGTAATAGAGTTGGTAAATAAAGGTATGGACAGAAGAAAGGACGATAGCAATAGCATGTGCGGTGTGAGCCATTGCGGCAAGTACTTGGGGAGTGAAGAAGAAGGCGCGTATCAAATGGCAACGTACTTGCCGAAATCAATGAGAAATATTGAGTTGTTACTGTGCGAGCAGATGCAACAGGAAAACACTGACCTGGTATAAATTCACATTCATATCATCTCATACTACACCTCTCAATCACCGGGTATATCTCAACCTACGCTACCCCAACTATCCACATACCAACCCATCCCTAGGCTCCTCTACAATCTGCTTTCCATCCCCCTTCTCATCCGACAACACCTGCTTCTCTACCCTACCCTCAGGTTCCAAACCCGCATCCTTGACCTCTGCATCTTCCTTCTTAGCAGCTTGCTCCGCCTGCTGCTCCAATCGCTTCTTCTCCTTCTTACTGACTGTCATACTGCCCTTCTCCAAAGCCTCCTTCGGCAGCGGTCGGACATAGGGCTGGCAAACCCAGTAAGGGCGTTTACAGCGAGCTACAGTGGCTAGTGAAGACTCGTAAGGGTCGAGGGGTTCGGGAGGTGCTGCGGAGGTATCTTCAGCGAGAGACTCAGGAACGGCCGGTGTGTCTGTGGCGTTGGCTTGCTCCTGCTCGTATTTTTGGATACCCTCTTTGACAGCTGCTTCGACCAAACTGAGCACATTCTCAAACGCATCAATGTCGCCTGTCCGCGAACGAGCAAGCGCGTCTCGTACATTGTGGTGCTCTGCGACGAGCGGACGTAGGAGATGGAAGAGATGTGCCTGCATGGCTGTTAAGTTTGGATTCGACGCCTCCTTCTTTTTCTCGGATTTGGACATTTGCTTTCTCTTCTTCTTTGGCGGGCCTTCCTCATCCTCTTCGTCCGACTTGGCTGCCTCTTCTTGCTTTGGAGGTTCCTCAGGATCTCCAAGCATCCATAATGGTTTCCTTTGGGGAGGTTCTTGACCCAGTGCGTACTTGTGTATGATGTCCATATACCTCCTCATCACAGCATCCATCCTGTATCCACCCTTACCATCCCGACCTCTCCAGTATTCACGACCTTCCTGGCCTACGGGTGGCGGTGGCGCAAAGATGGTTGGATCGTAGAGGTTTCCTTCGGCGCTCATTACCCCATCTGCACCTGTTGCCTCTAGACATGCTGCAATGTCCTCGTGCTGTAGAATGTTTCCATTTGCGAACAGCACCGTCTCTTTGGGCAGATTTTCCCGCAGATACCGAATCATCTGCCAGTCTGCCAATCCGGTGTTGTGACCTTTTTGTTCTCTCCGCCGACCATGGACTGTGAGGATGCTTGCGCCTGCATCTAGTATTGTCTTTGCGTATGCCAGTGTCTTCTCTGGGGTCTCCAGAATTCGCATCTTCGCTGTGACAGGAATATCGAGTTCCTCGTGTAATTTCCGTATCATTCTCGCAATCAGATCCCAGTCTTCCTGCAAGAAAGCGCCGTATTTTCCTCGTTTCGCAATTCCTTGGGGACATCCCAAGTTCAAGTCTACCGCATCGCAAAAGGGCGCAACGTGCTTAGCTGCTCTGAGAAAGTCTTCTGGATCGTTGGAGCAAAATTGGACAGTGAGGGGCCTGTCGAAGGCTGGGTTCCCGTCAAGATGTCTGCTCGAGTCAGGGAGCTGAGACAAGTGGTAGTTGTCTACAGGCGAGGGAAGAGGCGACTTGAGTGGCTGGAAGTGTGAATCTCGGTACTGGCTCTTCTCGCCAAACATCTTGGAGTGAAACATGGGCGTATATGCTAAGAGATTTCCTTTCTCGGACTCGGGGAGGAAAGAGCGGGATAGTAGTCGCCATGCCTATCAATATATTGTTGTTAGCCTATGATTCTGGATGGAGAGCGCAACAGTCATGGAAACATACGAACTCTGACTGTTCCACCATGGGCGCAAGCACGAGTTTCGGGCTTCCAATGCTCTCGTAGAATGCGCGCCCATGTAATTTTTGTGGTTTCCCATTCGCCTGCGCCGTTCCATTGCTATGCAATACTCCTGCAGCCTCCCCTTGGACCGTCTGAGTTGTGGTGGTCGCCATGATGCCGAATCGTCGCCGCGAAACTTGGACCGCTCTCGTGGGGGCGATTGCGCCCCCAAACGCCTTGGACAAAGAGGAGCGTATGACGTCGAATGCCAGATACGCTCAGGGTCGTCCGGGATGTCCTCCGCCAAGTGTCACGGTTCCTGGATTGATCAAAGACAGGGTTAGGGTCATGGTGAAATGGCGGAGAAAAAAAACGACATTGAACACTCCGCTGAAACGGACCAATCGGCGTTCGCCAAAGCTCCGCGCCAGCCCAGTGCGACGAGCGTTGACCATATGTTCGTCAGAGTCATAAGATGTTGTGCAGCAAGATCTTGTCGTTGGCACTTTTGCTTTTTAGTATTTTAATTTCCGCGTGTGACGTTGTGACCAGTCATGTGCTGCTGCACTACACTGCATCTTCGTACATCAAGCTCACCTTCATTCAAGCCACGCAAAGAGGTCCGTCACGAACACCCTCAATACCAATAGGAGTCCGGCCTTACAGGATACGAATACTATACACTACATCATCGACATAATGCACACTGTTTCAAACCTTCGACGCGGTCACGCGACTGATGACTCTATCCTTAGCTTACCCCCTGGTTGCAATCACGCCATCAGGGTGTCATATGGCAACGCCAACTCAGAAACTTAAAGTAAGCCTCTATCCTCACTCAAAATCACTCTGCAATATTGAACGCGTCAGGTTATACCAATGTTCATTCTAACGACAACTAGGTCGCATGGTATGATAACTCAAGAGCCTCGCTCATGTTGAGACGCTATAACAGTACACAGATAAACAGACATGATGTTGAACTAGACCCCATGAACAGGCAAACGCCATATCTGTCGACCATCCGCCTCATTCTCCATCCCTCGTCCATCGTACGGAAACGTCTAATTGTTGTACCCAACCGACAGTCATTACTCCGGATATCTCGTCGGCCGTGAAAATGAGTTGATTTGGAAAAGGGAGAGCGGCTGCCCTCGGAGAATGCAGCCCGAAAAGAGGCAAAAAAGGAAAACGCTGAAATGACAAAGACCAACCCGAGTGGTGAAAGCAAGACGCCATTATTATGCAAATGTTATGCAGGGACTTTGTTTGAAGTCGGAAAAAGTGGAGTGACCGATGCGGCGGCAATCGTGATCATCCGGATATCATCGAGAGAAGGTATGACATGAGTAGAAAACACGGCCCAGCTGCAGAGTACGCGGGCAATGGAGACGCCAGGTGTCTAGAAAGTGCTCCAGTTCCAGGTTCCCTGGAGGCTCTGCGCCAAGCTGCCTACGCGGGTGTTGTCTGGCCGCTTCGCAACCGCGGGAGTCTGAATCGACTTTGCCGGGGCCGGTCCGCTGCTGTCAGAGCTCTCGCTGTTAGTTCGGCTGGAGCGGAGATGCTCCCACTCGCGGAAGGAGCTGTGGCAACGATCACATGCACGATGCCAGTGACCTTGAGGATGGAAGCGGGCAAGCTCGTCAAGGCGGACTTGGTTGCGAGAGTGCTGTGCGCAGAAGATGCCACCGCACTTGCGGCAGTGGTGACGGCGCTGGAAGAATCCAAAGGGCTCCTGGCAAGACGAGGCGGAGCAGACCAAAGTGGAGGCATCGGCCTAAAGAACATGGTTAGTATCATTGGTCTGGACTTTGGATACAACTAGAGGCAAAAAGAGCTTGGCGGGCTAAAGAGATCAAGCCCTGCATCGGGTAAATTCTTTAGCGCGGGGGTGGACGATGTGCTAGCGACCAAAGTGGCAAGTCGGTGGGCAGGCAAGACGATCGAATTTCCCAACGCCTTACGCAGCCTAGGAGGTAGCGATATTGGCCGGACTGCAGCAGTGGGCATCGGGCGTCGAGTGTTGCATCTTGCCGACAGATTTATTGAAATGTGGCAAGTAGCAAGCGCTCGGCATCTCGGCTCAGCAGACAGCGGGAGGACCGACAAGCACGACGCTAGCGAGGCCCACTTGGCCCATGTACGTAAGACGGGACCCTCGAGCCCCCCCAACTGAGCACGCGACATGGGTGGGATGCACAGGGCGAGCAGGGGCGAAAGAGCGAAACAGAAAAGAGAGAGTAATAACAACATACCTGCCAGTGGTTCCGTGTAATTGGTCCGGCAACGGGAGACAAGGGTTCGGGACTGTAGAGGCTCTGCATATCCTCGTTGCCAATGTGAGAGATGGGTGTGATGCTGCCGTCGTTGGCAGCCCATCCAAAGCCGGCATTCGTCGACCATGGGTTGGTGTTGTTGGAGTCTGCGGCCGAGTCTTGCTTGGGGGGAGACTTGCTGGCGGGCCTCTCAGTCTTGCGCAGAGCAGCGGGGATACCGATGGCGGTCCTGGGTTGGTAGATGCCCTGGTGGCGGGAGAGGGGCAGATGTGTGTTGCGAGGTGAGGTGGGCGAGATGTTTGCGGGCGTGTTGATGGCCGAGTTTGTGGGCGAGTACTGCGAGTGTGTCGACTTGCGGTATGCGTGGTGTTGGTAGGGCGCGTGTTGGGGGAAGGTGGTGGTGGAGAAGGTCGTGGCCATGTTGACTGGAGGTTGATGGAAAAGAGGTGGGGTGGTGTCGTAGTGTGAGGGCTTGGAGGTGCGACGTCAAGGTATAAAATAACGGGCTGTCGGAAGACGTGGACAAGGACAGCACAGGCGGTGAAAGTGGTGGGATGGTATTGGTGCGATTGCACAGGAACAGGCGTGTGGTTTCAAGTCGTGGCTGAGCGGGAAGCAACCAGTACTTGTGCAGTGGTGCAACAGAGGCTATCCTGGCAGACAGGCCGAAAAGGATGTACGCGGTTCCTGGTAGGGGTGTTTGGAGAGTCGGGATGCAAGTCGATTGGTAGCTGACGTGCAGACGATAAGAAGAGTGATGGAGGAGGACGCCGGGGCCACGCAGTCAACCGTGGAGCTAGCAGCGCATAGTACCAGGGTTGGGAGGCTGCTAGACGAGGGTTTGGGTGGGCGGAGAGGGCGTGTGTAGTGTAGAGATGGTAGTAGGTAGGTGGGTTGTGCGTATAGGGCAGACCAAGGCAAGGCAGCAGTTGGTGTCGCGTGAGTGCGGAGGAGCTGGGGTGAGGCTCTGGGGACAGGGTGAATTAAGTCAAGGGCAGCCAGCGGCTCTGGTAACCATTACCAACAACGAACTGACGGGGTGGGGGGGCGGTCGCCTGATGGGGAATTATGGCCGCGTGCTTGGCGCAGCCGAGTGAAGGGCCAGCGACCAGAGCGACCAGCGACCAGCGACCAGCCGACAAGGGTATCATCGGGCTACGACCGGCCGCCGTGGTTTTTTCTTTGAGCATTGCAATGGTAACCGCGAGCATGCGCGCGCCTCCGACTCGACCCTGCCCCGCCATACACCGCTGCAATGACATCAAAAAAGCAGCGATGGATTTATAAAAAAAAAAAAAAAGACGGGGAACGGTGCTGGGGTAGCCCAACGGCCGCGTATCTTCCATTCACTGCGACTATCGATGTACGTAGCAGTAGGCGTGTGCACTGTGCTTTGGCAGGCTGCGTGCTTGCACCTGTCTCGTGCGAACAGCGTTGCATCTGCGGTTGAGGTGGCCAGCCGTTGGGCCCCACCCTGCCCTTTTGGGCGCCTCTTATCTCTGGCCAATCACCGCCCGCGCATATGCACGCCATCCCTGCCCACATCGACTCGACCATCTCCGAGGGGCGGAACGCCAGCGTCAGTCGTAAACTCTAACCTCGAGCAATCATCCGCCATCGCCAGCTGCATCGCGACCGACCTCGCTTGTGCTTGCTGATCCCGTCGTCATCTCTGGGGCCATGATAGGCGTTGGCGCCTGCTGAATACGAGCACACACGTACTATGCACATCTGCCATCATGCCTGTCCTCAGAACCCGAATCTTGCATCACCCATCATCGCCCATCGACACACGCTGTCCATGACCAGGCAAGTGTGCCGCGAGAGGCGCTGCCGGGAGAGGGAGAGCCCGCTGAGATGCGGCGAGTCTGCAACAACTGGCGGGGCAATAGCCACTACTCCTCCATGCCATGCCATGCATGCATGCAGCCACCAGCCACGCCTCAGAAATAGCCGTCGCCAGGCGCGCCCGTCCTCATTACCCAGTATATTGCGGCCGAACTTCACGATGCTCCAAGACGAGCTGCAAGTGTGTGTGGGCAAGCGTGGGTGGGTGGGACTGCCAATCACATCGGATCCGCTCTCAATAGTCCTCTAGACAGGGCCCGCCGCGCTGCTTGCTCGCTCTTGGAACATGCCGTCGGTGAGGGTCAGAGGTCCACAGCTAGCTTCACGATCCGCCTCAACTTCGGAGCATTCTTGTTTGCATGGTGCTACTATACCTGTACTACTGGGCCTACTACGACTGTTGGACATCTGCCATGGCCCAGAGGACATGCGCATGGTGGTAGGGCTGGATCCGATGACTCGTACGACGTCGGTCGGTCCATCGTCAGTCCGTGCATATGCAACCCTGCAGACATTTGACGTCTTTCGCAAGCCATCATCCCTGGATCTCAGTCGCATTGGCATCGGCTCCGGCACTGCCACTGCCACTGCCACTGACAGCTGCTATGCTCTGCTGTGTCCCTCGTACGGATCTGGCGATTCTGCTCTCCCTGCATCCAGACAATGCGGCTGGATAGGACAAGACGAGACATGCACCACGTCCGTGCATCTTCCTCTAGTTAGTGGCGAAGCTTTGCTTTGCCCATCTGGACTGAGGCTCCGTTCCGCTCAGCTGCCGCCAGTCAAGCTCAAACAATGGCACGGCTGGCAACGACAAGACGCGCCCGCTCCACCCCCTCCGGCCGTCCACTCTGTCGACAAGATAGTCAGACAGATGCCTGTGTCTGTACTGTGCTCCGCTGCTCCACACTTCCGACCCTCTGAGCGCTTGCACACGATATCAAGGCTATCCCTGAAATCCCAACCTACGTGGCGACATGGCAACACCACTCCAGACCGAACCCATTTCGCCGAGAGCTACACCTTTGCCTCCGCTCCCTGCTGAAGATCCGCTCACGCCCGCGCAATGGACCACGCTGCTCGCCATTGCAGATGCCGTCATTCCTGCAATCCAGCCCGCCTCGACAGCTACGGCGCAAAATGATATTGTTGCGTCTGACCAAGACTACTCTACTGCTATCAGCACGCTGAGGGCCCGCATACCCGAGAGCGACCCTGATGCTGGGGCGGCTGCCAAAGAGTACTTGGCCGCATATGCAAGTCAGGACCCCGCATTCCGTGCAGAAATGCAGCGAGTATTCGCCCTGTACATGCCCCATAGTCAGAGGAAGGAATTGGCCATGGTGCTCGACTTGCTTGATACCAGACCGGGGTCGTTGTTCCTAACTGGATACCTCACGCCCATTAGCGCCCAGCCCGTCCATGTTCGAGAGTCGATTCTCCACGCTTGGGCAACCGCTCGCTTGGGGCCACTCCGGCAGATGCGTCGCTCATTCACCATTCTCTGCAAGCAAGCGTGGATCAAGACGTCGCCGGCTTTGCGCCGTGTTATAGGTCTGCCGCGGGTGCCAATTGGCATGAGACCAGGTAAAGGGTTTGACTATAAGTTTATCCAGATTCCTCCCGGTGACGATCCTGAGGTGATTGAGACAGACGTGCTCGTTGTGGGCAGCGGTTGTGGAGGCGGCGTGTCTGCAAAGAACCTGGCCGAAGCAGGGCACCGTGTCGTGATTGTTGAAAAGGCCTATCATTGGACTCCGGATCACTATCCTATGACTGAAGCTGATGGGTGGCACCATCTCTTCATGAGCGGCTCCTTCTTGACGTCTGACGATGCCTCCGTCAGCGTCGTGGCGGGTCAGTCTTTGGGTGGAGGAGGAACAGTCAATTGGTCCGCTTCTCTCCAGACCCAAGGCTATGTCCGCCGCGAATGGGCAGCACGAGGCCTGCCGTTTTTTACATCTGCAGACTTTCAGCAGTCGCTGGACCGTGTCTGTGACCGGATGGGCGTTTCGACTGAGCATATCAAGCAAAACCCGGGCAACAGGATGTTATTAGATGGTGCCAGGAAACTAGGGTGGAATGCCAAGCCAGTTCCCCAGAATACTGGGGGGAAGCAGCATTACTGTGGTTATTGCAATTTTGGCTGTGGCTCGTGTGAGAAGCAAGGGCCGGTAGTGTCGTTCCTGCCGGATGCGGCTCGTGCGGGCGCAAAGTTTCTCGAAGGTTTCCACGCCGAAAAGGTTGTTTTTTCCATGCAAAACGGTCAACAGGTAGCCACGGGCGTCGAAGGAACATGGGCGTCTCGTGACATAAACGGTGGAGTGGCAGGTTCGCCTGTTAACCGGCGCAAGGTGCTGATCAAGGCAAAGCGCGTTATTGTCTCTGCAGGCACACTGCAGTCTCCCTTACTGCTGATGCGCTCTGGTCTGAAGAACCCGCGAATTGGCCAGAATCTGTATCTTCATCCCGTCACGTTTCTTGGTGCTTACCACAAGGCAGAAACCAACCCATGGGAAGGAGGCATCTTGACGGCTGTCGTTGGTGAATTCGAGAATCTTGATGGGAAAGGCCATGGTGCCAAGCTTGAAGCCACCAACATGATACCATCTGCCGGTCTCATGTGGGTAGATTGGAAGGGAGGCTTACAATGGAAGCTCGATGCTGCCAGGCTAAAGCACATGGTGGGTTACATTTCCATTGTCAAGGACAAAGATGCAGGAAGGGTGTATCCAGATCCCGTCGATGGCAGAGTGCGAGTTTCGTACCAAGTCAGCAAGTTCGACAGGCAAAATATCATGGAAGGTATTTTGGCCCTGGCGAAGATCCAATACATTGAAGGCGCAGAAGAAATCTTCACAACCATACCTGGCCTGAGGTCATTTGTCCGGGACCCTTCTGCGCCGTTAGGGGACGGCATCAATAACGCAGAATTCCAGGCGTGGCTCGCAGAGGTCGAGGCCAAGGGCTTTCAGTCGCCCGAGAGTATGTTTGTGTCTGCACATCAGATGGGAACGTGTCGCATGAGTGCGCAAGAATGGGAGGGTGTTGTCGACCCCCAGGGCAAAGTTTGGGGTACAGAGGGGTTATACGTGGCGGACGCAAGTGTTTTCCCCAGTGCTAGCGGGATCAATCCCATGGTAACAAACATGGCTATTAGTGATTGGATCAGTAGGGGAATTGCAAAGGGTCTGGACGAGCGTCCCCGCCTGTAAGCAAATGCATCGTATTTGAAATGCATAATGGAGAGAAGGGGATGATAGTCTTGAGTTATCTGATGGGATTTGCAGTTGGCCAAGGACTGAAGGATTGGCGCCACTCTTCTCTTGGTCTACACAGCCTTCCTGGTGGCCTTATGGGAGGACTGCCATCAACGGCAATGGGCCAGGTTTCACGGGTATAAGTACGCTAGGCTACTGTGAGGCACACAGGTAGTGATATCGCCACAAGCAGTAGACTATTCACAGCCCAAGCACATGGCCGAAGCGCCCATATGATTGGTGGGCGACGGTGCGACAGCCATGTCCCGTGCGGGCCGGGCAAGCGTGCCAGGCCTGTGACATCACCAGTCGACAGACTGTGGGGTTGATTGGGTTCACCGTGTGTTCGTCTGCAACCTTTGACCTGCTCGCCCATCTGATCTCCAGCCTTTGCTGCCGCTATGAGCCTAGGGCTGCATCCTTGGACCCTGACTGCGCCTAAAATACAGGGACCCGAAACAGAGTTTCTCGCCTGTTGCTCGATGTACCACTGAGGCAGACGTTTATGCTCGAGTCCCTCTTTATAGAGTCGGGCGCACCACGCCTGCGCTCCAAGCAGGGTTGACCTGGAATACTTAAGCTTGAAGACGACGACTGCCGCGCACGCCTTGCCCGTGCAATTGTGACGCAGCCTTGCCTTGAATACAAACTATAACCGCATCTTTCGCCCGACAAACTTCGCACTTTGCCACAACTCCCAACGCCACATCACCACACACACACACGCACATACCGACCGCAAAACCATCATCTACACCACCATGACCAGCGTACTCAAGGGCGGCTTCGGCTCGCCAAACAGTGCGCCTCTGGGAGGCCCCAATCCGGGCACCGAGTTTGTCAACACCATTTGCCCGCTCAAGGGTGCTCTCGACGGCTACGACAATTCCCTGCCATGCAGCAGGCAGACCATCCCCGTCCCCACCAACTTCCGCGATGCCATGGCTGTCCGTGAGGTCGTCTTTGGCGAGCAGGGTGTTCCGCTCGAAGCCGAGTTCGACGAGGACGATGCCCGCAGCTGGCATTGGGTTGCCTATGCCTCCGTCGCTACACACTCGACATCACCACCCAAGGTGCTGCGCCGTGCTGACTCGGGCAACACGCCTGCCGATGACGCCCGCCGCGCATCTGCTACTGCTACGCGCGTGCCAGTTGCGACGATCCGACTGATTCCCCCGCCCCACGGCCCGAACAAGTACGTCCAACACCACGAAACAGACAAGCATCCCGACGCAGATCCCCCGGCCCACGACCAGGAGCACAAACAGCCAGCGGAGCCCTATATCAAGCTTGGCAGGCTCGCTGTACTTGCTCCTTACCGCAGTCTCGGTCTTGCGAAGCTGCTCATCAACGCGGCGCTCGACTACGCCACAGCGAACCCCGACTTGATCTACCGTCCTCCGTCTCCCACCGCATTGGAGATGGCCCAAATACTTGGCCACCAAAAAGAGAGGGAAATCACATGGCAGGGTCTTGTTATGATCCACGCACAAGCAAACCTACAGTCCATGTGGGAGAAGCACGGTTTTCATGAGCAGCTCAGGAACGAAGACTGTCATGTCGAGATAGATGCCGAACCTCATTGGTTCGAAGAGGGCATTGAACATGTCGGCATGTGGAAGCGACTCCCAATCGAAAAGCGCAAGAGGCTGTCTCTATCCTCTCTCGACTCTGCTTGAGCACATCCTGCTACGCACTTTTACCATTTCTCGCAGTTTTTGTTTGCACGCGATTTTTAGGCTCTGCTTCAGGGGATTTCAGAGTGTTTCGACAACAAGACTGGATACCCGCGTTCTTGAAGTTGGATTCTCCACACATTTCCGGGGTGCCCGGTCGAGAATCCTCCGTGTTGTGAAATTACATTATACCCAATCCCCTTTATCCAGTTTTTCATGACGACACGGCCGCATCTTTCGCTTCTTTTTGGTTTAGATGGGAAGAGCTGGAGTTATTTTTTTTCGAAATCAAAATGTTACAAGATATGATGGTTTGCAGTAGACTAGCAGAATCGACCATTTGGTCCTTTTCCTCCTCCAGCAGTGCCTGTTTTCCGGTTCTCTTTCTAGCATCTTTTTCAAGCGTATCCGGTCCTTGTAGGAATTGTTAACTTTCACCTACTCTTTCCATTCTAGTGAGCGGGAGAAATATGTGGGGTAAAAGGAGTGGGTGAGATACTACTTAGGAACTACCCCAGTACCCCAGTATATTGGCTTGGCGAACCCTGTCAAGAGGCATGCCGTCTCTGCGCACCAAGGAAAATGAATCACAGGCAACAGTCACATCGTCAAGTATCGCAAGGAACATTGTTCCACTGGTGAAGCCATGTGTTTGTCTTTGAGAAACATTGTGAACCAACGCGCACGTGGTGACAGTCACACGACCATAGCGCACAAGTCCGTTTACCATCATAGGATTCGATCACACCGCCGCTCTTAGCTCGGCAAAATTAAAATTACACTCTCACTTGTGAAGACGAAATAGTCTACGCGTAGAAATTCAATAATGTATAAGTGACGCGCTGCTCTCAACGTCTCCGCCGACTAAACTTGACTTCACCACCCATCGCAACCAGTACCTTGCAAACACTGTTCGAACATTCATCATGGCGGCCTTTTTGGGAGTCACCATTACCCTTGTGCTTGCTGTTATTTCTAGAGGCAGCCATGCGGTTCAGATCCCTGGGGCAGACAACAACCACAGGTTCAAGGTTGCCGTCTCGCACTTCCCTCTAACAGACACCACACGCAAGGATCCATACTTTTCCACAGAAGACCGCCGCGTCATGGTCAGCTTGTTCATGCCTATTCCCAGAGACTCATGCTCGAGTGAGTGCCAGAACAGCTACATGCCACCGCAGACAGCTCGAATTGCCAATGAGCAGTTCATTGTTGGGGGACAGCGTGACATTGGCGTCTTTGAAGACATGACCTACAACGCCTGCTGCAAGAGCTCAGGGTCTATCGATGCGAGCAAGATTCCCGTCGTGGTACTAGAGCCGCACGTCGACACGAGCAGGTTGCTCTACTCAACCATGGCGCGCTTCATCGCCGCCAACGGAGCTGCAGTCGTACTAGTTGACCACCCAGGCGACGCCTCCATTGTCGAATTCCCCAACAACGGCCGGCGCGCCCTCGACACAGTCTACAACAGCGGTACCGTCTCGCTCTCCAACTTCTCCCCCCTAACCGCCTGGAACACCACCGTTACCAAAGCCATCGAAACCCGCATCTCAGACATTGAATTCGTCCTCTCCCAACTCAACTCCGCGGACCTCCTCAGCCGCCAATTCAGCTCCTTCACCTTCGCCTCCAGCACCGGCCTCGGCACCACAAACTACGGCATCGTAGGCCACGGTCTCGGCGGCTCCGTCGCCACCTCCCTCGGTCTGACCCCTACCACGCTCTTCAGCATCAACCTCCAAGGTACACCCCCCCTCCTCACCTCCCCGGTCCGCAACAACCCCCTCTTCTTCTTCGGCCGCCAGGATTACCGTCGTGAAAACGATATCCACTGGGAATCCACATGGTCCTATCTCACGGGCCCCGCGACGGAATTCGATCTCAACGACTCGGCCATCTTCGACGTGTCTGACCTCCCTATTATCGTGGAGCTTGCGCGGAATGAGGGCGGGAAACCGCAGACGAGCGGGCGGGGGTTGAGTGGTGGGTTTCCGGTTCAGGGGGCGCAGGCCGTGACGTGTTTTGTGGAGACGATTGTTAAGGCGCAGTTTGGGTTGGATTCGGGGGGTGTGCTGATGAATGATTGTATGAGGTTTTTTCCCGGGGTTGTGCCGTATCCGGGTGTTTGAAAGAGGAGGGGGGAAATGTGTATATAGGTTAGTGGGGTTTTGGGGAGGTAAAGGGGTCTTTCTTTCTTTTCTTGCATTTTTTTTACTTGGTCTAGGGAGGGTTTGCGGTGGATTGGCATTGGGATACGGAAGATACCCTGTTTTGCATGATTGGCGTTGGGGATAGATGTGGAGGGTTGGTTTGGACCCTTGTTTTTTTGGGGTGAGATGTAGAAGGATGGGTGTGGTTACTTTGAATGGAGATTCATGATGTAATTTTCAACCACTGTCTTTCGTCATCACGCACTCTATACGAATACATGTTATCTGGTACCGCACTCATGTTTCTGGTCCATAGCATCGTGAACCCCGCCTTTTTATTGACTGAAAAAGAGGGGGTGAAAGACGATACGAAGATACCATGGTTCGTTGACGGCTTGTTTGTGTATATATCTTCTCTTTCTTCCTCCCTCACATCTTCATCGCTTGCCAAACCTCAAGCAGCCTCGAGTCACCTTGTCAAGAAGACGCAAAGTCTAGAGTACTAATTTCTTCTTTTTCTGTCTTACCCCAATCTAAAGTCCCCAACATCATCAAAAATGCACCCCTCAACTATCCTCACCACTACCGCTCTCGCCGCCACCGTAATGGCCGCCCCGGTGAGTGACGCGCCGACCCCCGATGCTGTGGCCCTGGCGGACACCAAGAGACAGCTCATATATCCTATGGATCTTTGTACTAAGATTGGATGCGGAGTCCCTCGTGTTGGGACGTATGATGGGAAGAAGCACCATGAGCATGATGATGATGATGAGCACCACGACAATGAACATCATGAAGAACATCATGAGGAGGAGGAGCACCACGAGGAAAAGCACCCTGAGGTTGAAGAAGAGCATGAGGAGCATGGAGAGCATGAGCATCACGAGAATCACCATAGGGATGAGCACAAGAAAGAGTATGAGGGAGACCATGAGGATGAGCACACGAAGAAGTACAAGCACGAGTCCAAGAAGCTCATGCCAAGGTACGATCAATTCCGTCTGGAAGTGCTGAGGAAGCTCGAGACCAGGGGAAGAAAGGGCTTTGTTTGCACCGTCTTGTAGTCGTGAGAGAAACCTCCTACCAGCCATCAAAACAGTGATTAGCTTCTTATCTTAATAACGTCATCGAATTCTCCATCTGGTATCACTATGCCAAAAAAAATCTCCAATAAACCCTCCTTGTTTTTTCTGTTCATTCAATTCCCTGCATCCTAACCATTCCCAACTGCACTAATCCAATAGCACAACCCCTCCAACATCAATTACTCCTAACCTCCCACATCCTCTCCACACTAATCGTCCTCGGCGACACACCCCCCTTCCCCATCATATTGCCCCTCTCCTCCTTTCCCCTCTCCTCATCTGACGAAATACAAACCCGCTGTATCCCCTCAACCGGCCTCAACTCAATCTGCGACGAATTGTTCGTCTGATCCACCAGTTCGGAAAACGTAGCTGTCGGATCCAAACCTCGCGATGCGCCCGCACCTCGTTTCGACATGAAGCTGATTTGCTTGGCGCTGCTGCTGCCGTATTGGTACCCGGAGTCGAGGTTGTGGCGCGATTTGCCGAACAGAGGGCGCAGAAGGGGGATGCAGGCCAGGACGATGGCGACGGCGGGTTCGAGGCCGGAGAGTATGGTGGCGAGGACGCCGCTGTAGGTCATGTCTGCGAAGTCGAGGGTCGGGAGGACGGTTTGGCGGTAGATGGTTATGGCCCAGGTGCTATTTATTGCGATGTTAGCGGGGGGGTTGAGGGAAGATAAGGGGGAGGGTGGACTTGGTTACCCTATTCCGATGCTGAGAAGACCCATGGCGAGGAGTTTCTTGCGCATTGGCATTGCAAGTTTGTAGAGATATGGCATGGGCATTCCGATGAGAACGGCGTCGGTGATGAGATTAATGATGCCCATTGTAAAGTAAAAGTCTGGTTGACTTCCGCATGTTCCGGGCACTGTGAAGTCCCAGTTTCGCGCCAGTGGCCGGCAGATGAGGAATGCGGCCATGATGTTTGCGGAACACCATACTACGATGAAGGCGCCGAAAGCGACGCTCATTCGTATCATCGTGGGTGTGGGGATTAAGGCCGAGTACATGAGTAAGACTGAGAGTTTACTAAAGCATACGGTTGCGTTCCAGAGCATTGAGAAGGTCATGATTCCCTGTAGCCCAAACCGTTAGACGTATACATCAAGAGAGATATGAATCTGAAAAGCTTACCTTGAAGAAATACGTAGTCGTCCCCGGTCCAAACCGCTGCATGACTTCCGCAGTGTGGAATCCAAGTCCGCCGTGTGTAACCAGCGAAATGCATGTCCCGTGCAAAGCCGCATTCCACAGCTACATCAAGAAAACGTTAATGATCCAAACAAAAACCCAGTTTCTGGTAGTATAAAACTCACACAAGCAACGACGATACACCAATCGCTCCCATCAACACGATTCCGTATCCTCTTAGCAACAAGCCTCAAGCCCACCGCAATAACCACAATCGAAATCGATATCGAACTCGCAACCACAACACACACTTGCAGACGATTCTCAATAGGAATCGTCCCATGCATCGTGCATAGTAAACGTAAGGTAGTAAAGGGGGTAAGAGCAAGCACCAGCACCAGCACAACAGCCGTCTAAACTCCTTCCGCCAACAAAACAATCAATAACCAATAATGCAAAAAAAAAGGTGTACGTAAAGTTTCAAAAACAAGCCATGGATAAGTACGGCAATGGACTTGATAGTAAGTAATATCTAAGCCCTAAGAAAGCCCATCATCCAGGGTTACCAAATCTCATCTATTATTACTTTCTAACCCTCGCCCCCCTTCACCTCTGACGATTCGTCACAAAAC